CTTTTTTTTTTTTTTTTTTTTTTTTTTTTTTTGCGGTACGCGGGCCCCTCACTGTTGTGGCCTCTCCCGTTGCGGAGCACGGGCTCCGGACGCGCAGGCACAGCGGCCATGGCTCACGGGCCCAGCCGCTCCGCGGCATGTGGGATCTTCCCGGACCGGGGCTCGAATCTGTGTTCCCTGCATTGGCAGGCGGACTCTCAACCACTGCGCCACCAGGGAAGCCCGGCTTACTTATTTTATAACTGGAGGTTTGTTCCTTTTGATCCCCTTCACCTATTTTCCCCAGCACCCCCTCCTATTCTCTGTATCTATGAGTCTTTTTGTTTTGTGTTTTAGATTCCACATAGGTAATATCTTGTTTGTCTACGTGCCCCGAGTCCCTAGCCTAGACCATTAAACAACTTTAAAAAATCAATAACTTAGAAATACCATTGAGGCACGCTAGGTTTAGGAATTTAAAGGCATAAATACTTGTCTTAATCATCGGGAATCACAGGCCACAAGGAGAACATGACTTTCCTCTCCCCACTGCACTCCTTGTACACCCCAACTAGGTGAGTTCCCCTTTTATAAGCTTCCCTGCCCAGTGCCTTCTCTTTCATAGCAGTGTTTGCAGTTTGCTATTATTTTCTGTGATTATTTGATTAATGTCTTCTCCCGGCAATAGACTGTAAGCTTCCTGTGGGCAGGATCACATCTGCCTGTGTTCACCATTGGCCTTTCAATCAATGCTCAGCACTGAGCCAGACACATAGCTAAATATCAGTCATATGAATGAATGAATGAGCTTTTCTCCACACACACACGCACACACACACACACACACACACACCACGGGCTTCTAGCACCTACATTGTTGTAGAGATCACTGAGTAGGCAGATGGTTGACACAGACCAATGTAAACTCTCCTGTTTGTTTTTCAGACAGATTACAGTGGAAACATGATGCTTGCCAGCTAGAAGGGGAGAAATTCAAAATGGTAAACGGAGCGTTCTCGCTCACGGGGCTCCATGAGGGCTTCACAAACACCAGGGAGCCAAAATAAATGTGTCAAAAGTCCACTCCAGCAAAAGAGAATTGACCGTGTCCTTTCAAGAATTTTCCCAGCCAGCGAGAATAAAAAGACTTTGAAGAGGACTCAGGAAACCAGGGAATATATTATCTGTGCCGACAGCTTCTCAGAACTGGGAGGACACTGGGACCACAGAAAGAAAGAAGAAGGAAGAATTGGTGTCCTACTAAAAGGAGGGCAAAGCCACTCTAAAAATTGCTTTTGTCTAGCCAGACAACAGATTTCCTAAAAGGATCAAAGCTACTCTACCAGCTCAGTTTTCAGCAGAGTTGCAGGGAGGGTGAAGAAGAAGAAATGTCTCAGCCTTGAGAGCTAGCAGATGTGTTGCTTTTTCCCTTTCTTACTTGAGAATATCTAGGCTGATGCCGTCCAGACAAAGTCAAGAAGGGACCCAACCATACAGATTAATCCTGGTGCTTTGGAGACACAAGGGACTGGCTCCACTCCCTCCTTCATGGGACAGATGAAGAGTCCGATGTGCAGACAGAGCCAGTGACTGGCCCCAGCTCATGCGAGTGTGAACTAGAGGCCAGACTGCCCAGGTTCGTGGTCAGGCTCACGTCCCTGCCCACCCTGCTCTGTGGCTGCCCCAGACCAAACAGCAAGCCTCTTGCTGCCCCCAGCCCGCGTGCCAAACAGAGGTGACTGGCTGCAAGCTCTGCTTTCGGATCAGCCAGTTGAGGGCCACGTTTTAGCTCATCCATGGTCTTTATCAAAGTGGTTTTTCTATCCCACGGGCATCCCTGAGGCATCCGCACTCAGTGCCACCTTGCAAACAAGCAGTGAGCCTCTTGGTACTACCTTTTCTTAAATATCTACTGGTTTAAATATCTACTACTCAGGTCCCAGTGGTCTGGAATACCAGACAACATACGTTGACTGGTCCCGGAGCTCCTTGAGGGCAAGAACCATTTTTTACTTACTGGTGCAGCTGCAATGCCAAGGCCAGCGTCTGGCTCACGGCAGGATGGCAAAATGGGAGGATATCCAAAAATGGCACAGAATCTGAAATTGAAGCCAGAAAGAACTGTGTTAGAATCCTTGGCCAGAAGCTTACAAAGAAGCCCGACCTCTGTGGGCTTCAATCTTCTTATCTGTAAACTAACACAAATACCAACTACCTAACAGAATTGCTACAAGGACAGAAGATGACCTGCGGAGAGCATCAGCACACGGGACGCTCCATCAGTAGCCCTTACAATGACATCCTTCATCACTGTAGATGCAAGGAAAAGATGAAGTAAGGCAAATTTTTGTTTTTCGGCTGCACTGTGCGGCATGCGGGATCTTAGCTCCCCAACCAGGTATGGAACCCATGCGCCCTGCACTGGGAGTGTGGAGTCTTAACCACTGGACTGCCGGGGAAGACCCGTACGACAAATTTTTAAATTGGTTCTTTTCTAGACGCAAGAAATAAAGAAAAAGAAACAACAAATGCAATTAATTACCCAGCCTGTGAGTGGTCAGACTTTCCTCTGCTATTTATTGTCAGAGCTTAGGGCCCTGCTTTAAAGCCAGCCTTGCCTTATCCCAGCTTCTGCTTCATCTCCCACTGAAGTCATAACGCTGGGCTCGCTCTCTGTCTATTGACACAGAGAGCCTGTGAGTCACAAATTCAACAGGATGACTTTGCTGTAGTGTGATTGACTGGAAAATGTTCCCTCATCTGAAAAACTTTTTTTCAAGCAAATGGACATGCTTATTTTTGCAACATGGAGTGCAAGCTCTGTGTTTATTTGACGTTGGTCTCTGTGACATTCCAGCTTGGCAAGGGAGGGCTCACGACGTTCACGACCTGCCTTGCAAAGTGACATATATTTTTCCCTCTCCTTCTTCCTTGCTGCCGACTGTTATATCTATAGCAAACAGTCGCAGCACAATAGTTAGACTGCACTTCAATTTGGTGTTTACTTGACATTTACACACAGGCCATGCTGGACAGCTCAGTCATTCCAGTACGGGGGCCCGGCCAGCAAGCACTGGATTCCACTTGTGCTCAACCCCAAGCAACACAATCCTGAACCAGCTAGATGATGTCTTGAGAAGTGCTTGCGCGGCTGGGTTTTACTCTTATGCCTGAATTAGTGTATGTTAGGGGAAGAGGTGTCAGAAGGTCCTCAGCCATCCCAGAAAACATCTCCTTGATCCAGGCAGGGCATATGCGTCTTGCTAATACCACCCCTCCTCCCTTTAAGACCAGCGCACACACTGTCTCCTCATTCACTCTAAGACAGATCTAATCTAGTCCCCGGTGCGAAATCTCCCCAGGACTGGGCACACATTACTCATCTGATTAACTTCATCTCCAGTTCACCCATTTCCTCCTCTGTATAATGGAATGAATGACACTTACATCACAGGATTATTGAGGGCACACATAGGCAAAGTACCCGAGGCAGGTTGAAGTGCTTAGAAGGTGCACTGAGAATGTTGGTTCCCATCCCCTCCTGAGGTCCGTGCTTCTGGTTGCAGGAGGGAAAGGGGCTCAGGGAAGGGCAAGTTATGGGGGTTCCTGTCAGTGCAGTTTGATGCAGGGATGGAGGCTGGGACTTGACTGGGAGCCAAGATACGTGTTCTATGGCCCCAGCTCTGCCAGTGTGTGTCATGGGCAGTCACCTCTCCTCCCTAGGCCTCTGATTCCATACGTGCAAAGTGGAAGCCTCTGATTACATTCAAACATTGTCCCGTTTCCACACCCGCAAAATCTGGAGGCGGTCCAAACAAACTGCCCTACAAGGTTGACTAGCCCCAAAGCTGATATATGGAGACGCCAGTATTTCAAAGGAGTAGCAGGGAACTATACTCAATATTTTGCAATAACCTATAATGAAAAAGAATCTGAAAAAGAATATATATATATATATATATATATATATACATATATATAATACTGAATCACTTTGCTGTACACCTGAAACTGACACAACACTGTAAGTCAACTATACTTCAATTAAAAATAAATAAAAACAAATGAACTTATTTACAAAACAGAAACAGACTCACAGACTTCAAAAACAAACTTATGGTTACCAAAGGGGAAAGTGGGGGGGAGGGATAAATTAGGAGTTTGGGATTAACAGATACACACTACTGTATATAAACTAGATAATCAACAAGGACCTACTGTATAGCACAGGAAACTCTACTCAGTACTCTGTAATAAACTATATGGGAAAAGAATCTGAAAAAGAATGGATATATGTATATGTATAGCTGAATCACTCTGCTGTACACCTGAAACTAACACAACATTGTAAATCAACTATACTCCAGTATAAAATAAACATTAAATTAAGAAAACAAACAAAAAACATAATACATACATACATACCTAAAGGAGTAGCAAGAGAATAAGATGCTAACACTCAGTGCTGGGCAGCATGTAATACCTTCACACCTGGTTAATGTGAATGGAAATGCTGATGGGAATGTAAATTGATGGGAATGTAAATTTTTTGAGGAGCAATTTGATAACAGGCGATGCTGTTAACCTAGTAAAACAATCTGTATAAATTGAGCCTAAGGAAATAAGCGAATACATCTAAGGGTGCACAAGGAAGTTCTGGAATAGTGAAAAATTGGAAACAATCTACATGACCATTGAAGGGAGACTGATTAAATACCAATATTAGGAACTACTAGGGTGTGTTTAAAAAATAAGGTATATCTATGCATTAACATGTACAGCTGTCTGTGGTACAGTGCTGAGAGAAAATAAAAGCAAATTTACAAAGCTGTGTGCAAATGATAATTGGTATTTAAAAAATAAACTTTAATATTTCTATAGATGCATAAAAATCCTGAAAATTTGTACACCAAACTGCTAATCATAGTCATATCTAGATTAGCAGGATGTGGGTTCATTTTTCTTGGGACCACATTTATTGATTGATTTTTTAAGTAAGCAAGCATTAATTTTTTTATACATTTATTTATTTATTTTTGGCTGCGTTGGGTCTTCGTTGCTGCACGCGGGCTTTCTCTAGTTGCGGTGAGCAGGGTCTACACTTTGTTGCGGTGCCCGGGCTTCTCACTGCGGTGGCTTCTTTTGTTGCGGAGCATGGGCTCTAAGCGCACGGGCTTCAGTAGTTGTGGCTCGCGGGCTCTAGAGCTCAGGTTCAGTAGTTGTGGCTCACGGGGCTTAGTTGCTCCGCGGCATGTGGGATCTTCCCGGACCAGGGCTCAAATCCGTGTTCCCTGCATTGGCAGGCAGATTCTCAACCACTGCGCCACCAGGGAAGTCCTGCAAGCGTTAATTTTTGAAATCAGAAAAAAAAAACTTTTAAAAAATAAAAGGAGCAAAGGATTTTTTATTAAACATAGTGTATTCAACAAAAGTGTTTTCTGATTCTCCTTCTGATGCCCTGTTCAGATGACAGTAAAGGAACTGAAAAGGCAAAACCTACCAGGACAAAGAGAATGGGAGCTGGGAAGCAATGGACATATAGACACAAACTTAGATCAGAGGAAGTGAAAAACTAGGCACACTGATTCCAAGGTGCAGGACCCTTGGAAGGCTCAGGATGTGGAGACACCAAGTTACTCAGAAAGTAAGGTGCATGTGGGGACGGAAACAGGACTATTGATTGAAAGCCTATATAAGTAGCTGTTGGAAAATCCATTAATCTATCCATCCATCCACCCACCTACCCACTAATCCATCCATTCATCCATCCAAGTAGTCAAGCCCTAAGATTCCCCCGCTACCCGATGACTACTTTTCCCCCAACTTGAGAAGAAGATTAGAGCTTTATTCACTGAGGAAACTGATCTAAGAACTCTGGAGGGAAGCCGGCACAGCTGAGGACAGGAGCAAACAAGGATGACAAAAGGTCAGGACAAATAAGGAGAAGTGATGCCACAGGCTTCTTTCCCCACGTGGGCTCCAACAACACTGGCTGCCTCACTTACTTAGCTGCACAACCCTGGGCTAGTCAGTTTTTTTTTTAAACTGTAAAATGGGGTTCACTTGTTAAACAAATATGTATTGAGCACCTACTATGGGCCCGCAAACTGCATTACGTTTTGGAATAAGAATAAGTCAGCCAGGGCCCTTGTCCCTTGAAGCCTGCATTCTAGCGCATCAGTGGCAGTGCCAACCTCAGAAAGTGCTCAGCGCAGTATCTGGTACCGTGTCTGACAGTCGTGATGTTAATTATTACTTAGAATGTCCCCACTCCTTCTGATTCCTGCAGGGAGAACACAGCAGACCCTTCCAGTACTCGCAGGAGAGACAAGCTTAGAACTTTGCCAAGAGTGTTTACCAGTATATAACTCTCCAGTGGTGAATTTGACTTTGAAACTCCCCGCTGTCCAACCTAAATCTGGACTGGCTTATGAAGGGTCAAGGTCACTGGCTTTCTAGATCGGATACAGCCCAAAAAAGGCCTTTGCAAGTCATGGCACGAATCCAAGAAGTGTGATTCCCAAGTTAATTTATACCTGGCCCTACTTAAAACAGTGTCTTTGTGAGGTTTTAGGTGAGCTTGGTCCTTAGTTGTTGCATCTGCCGTGATGCTGGGATATCCAGTATAGGGGGGTGGGTAGAATTTTGGGGAAAAGCTTTTTGGTCTTCAAACCAAGATACTGCATCATCTCCCAGTGTTGGGTACAACAGAACCAATTTCAAACTTATCAAATGGGGATAACTATGTCAGGTTTCATTGCTAGAGTGCAGAAGCTAACACTGATGGTGCCTTTCACACCCAATGTCTCAGTGCTCACAACAACTTTGTGAGGTAGGTACACTCATAGCCCCATTCCACAGACAAGGAAAGTAGAGGGCAGCTAGATGACATGCCCAAGTTCATCCAACTAGTAAGAGGCAGCACAGGGCCTGGAATCCAAACTCTTGGGTGGCCGTCCCAGCCATCTCCTCCTGCGTGTCTGCACCTTCATCCCAAGCTTTTCCTTCATCCCCCATAAGCCAATGAATTCTGTCTGCCAAGACCTCTCCTTCACTGAGTTGAAGCAAGAGGGGGCAAAGAATCAAACTCAGATGATGACACTCTAATCCACACTAACACAGACCAAAGATACTCTTGCCTTTAAAGAAACCCAAAAGAGTCTCTATTTTAATGGAAAACCGAGTTTGCTGAATGAAACACAGAACGTTGAAATTCAACAGTTCAGTGTTTCCCGTAAACACTTGACTCTGAAATCTTTGTTGGGTAAGTGCAGCAATCCGAAAAATTCATCAGTAACTGACAACATAGACTGAGGGAGTCTCTGCATAGATTACCTTGTTGAATCTCTATTATGATGCTGGAAATTCCTCTAAGATTAGGTAACTATTCTAGGGCTTTCTCTTTCAAGAAGCTTCTGATCGTCCCTTGATAGAAGAAAAGCCTGTGTCTACATTTGAGCTAGCAACTTTGAAAAATACATCAAGCACAATGTGAGATATTTGAGGGCTGCCAGAAATTTATTCTGACCTTTTTTTTTCAACACGGACACTGGCCATCCTCCCAGCACTCTTCCCACCAGCCAGTATATTAAAATTGATTAACAAACACAATGTTTGTGAGAAAGAGCGAACCGCAGGATAATCAAATGCATTGTTATTATTTTTTAAAAAGTCATTTCCTTGGCCAGGAGTACATAATGTCAAATTGGCAAAAATAACCTATCCTCTTGTCTGGCCCACAAACTGGGAAGAAAATTAAACACAGAATTGTTTGTTTCTTGTTTACATTTCTCAGGGTGTGAAACACTCATTTTCAAACGCTCAGAATCCCTACACTTTCCATAGTGCAAAAATTTGACTTCCATTCTGATTTAAACCAGGGAACCATGTTTTCCTCAGAAGGGCGACATTGTACTGGTCTAAGAATATGAGGTGCAGAAACTTTATTTTCCTTCAGTTTTACTGAGATACAATTGCCATGCAGCCCATGGAGGCTTTTAAATTAAGGAGATAGAATCTTCCAGAGTATAATAATGTTTTGCTTCTCTTTTCAATGCTAATCTTCCCTGGGGAAATTCTTTACCAGGCCAGGAAAATTTGGTGAACCAAGTCAAGGAGAAAATTCCAGGAACAGGTTTCTCTGCCGATTTGCCTTCTTTGCCGATTCATTTATTTTAAAGGCTAGATTTCTTTTCAAAAGCGTATAGTATAGTATCAGGATTCTTCTTGGGGCCTTGAAAACAATCATAGTTGATAAAAGATGGTAAATGTTAGACGCTAGTAATTTGTTAAGATAAATATTACTACTATGTATCTTATTCTTAAAAGATATTAGGCTGTACTTAGACATTTAAAAATAAACAATCTAAAAAGAGATTTTGGGTTTTGTTTGTTTGTATCCTCTTAACATCTCAGAACAAGCTGAGGACACTGAAAAGCCCGAATTTAACATATTGCTGTCAGAATGGTTCAGGTCTTTAAGATAATCCCATTAGGTGTAGAATTTCTTTTTAAATAGCTTAAAGAATGTATGGGCCTCACATTTTTGGGCTAAGAATGTAGCTTAAGTGATCAAACCTAAAGGTTCATGAAAAAGATTTTAATTAAATTTCTGAGAATTGATTTTTTAACGTCTGCGATTCATTCTCTGCTCTAAAAACTTCAAAACCCAATGTTTGGGTTTTGAAAGGCAATGGATTTGGCTCCAGAAAAGAGTGGACACTTTCTCTGTCTGGTTTTGGTTTGGCTTTGGGTTATTTTTGTTTGTGTTTTGTAGTTTGTTTTATTACAATGCCTTGGCCTGGGCTGTTCCCTGGTTTTTTGTCCAACTGTTTTGAGAGAACAGAATTATGAAGGACTTTATTTTCTGTCTCCTTCATAGAATTTTTCAAAGAAGAGAAGTGGGTGGAAGAAGAGAAGGGACTGGAAAGCAGAGGACCGAGCCAGTGAACTCTCCACCAGAGACAGACGTTACTGACAAGATAAGGGCAGGGCTCAGGGCAGGGCTCCCAGATGAATCCTTTTACCCAGGCAGCTTTGCTGGCTCCCTTCATGCTACAATGTATACTCGCTGGGCATTTGTCCTAAAGACGCCCCAGTGGAACAGCAGCCACAAACAAGTCGGCAGATAATTGCAGTCCGCTGGGTAAGTAGCATAGAGCGAGTGGCCACATGGCTTTATTAGAGCTCAGAGGAAAGAGGAGGAATCTAGCAGGGACTACACAGACCAAGGGACTATTAAGACAGGTTCAGGAGTCTGAGGCCGTTGAGAGCCCGAGGGGAGAAAAGGCATTTCAGACGAGAAAACAGAGGAGGAAAATGCACATTGTGTATTCAGAGACTTGAGAGAGCATCCAGTTAAAGTTGAGGGAGGATGGGATCAGAGTCTGGAGATGATCCTGTTAGTCTGTCTAGAGCCAGAGTAGGAAGAGTTTGGTATACCAGCCTAAGGAGTTTGGTTTTGCTCCTTTAGGCAAAGGGGAGCTGATGGAGGGCAGCTGGGCAGAAATGGAACTGGTGGTGATCTGAACAAACTCGATTAGATCTGGCAGGGAAATTCCAGTGCGACTATGATTGTTTTTTATTTTTATTTTTTTTTTTGGCCACGCGGCATGTGGGATACCTTAGTTCCCTGACCAGGGATCCAACCCGAGCCCCCTGCAGTGGAAGCACGGAGTCTTAACCCCTGGACCACCAGGGAAGTCCCTCCAGGGGGACTGTGGGGGAGGTGGAAGAAGAAGACAACAGTTGGGACACTTACAGCAGTAATTAAAAGTGATAAATGAGGAGGGCTTGAACCAAGGCAGCCCAACTTGATCGTAGGAGAAGGATAACAGAGATATTTAGGAATAGAAGTGGTTGAACTCTGCGGATGCCTGGATGCCCAGGTCAAAGAAAATGAGGCAGGAGTGGAGGGGAATCTAGGTTTCTAGCTTGGTAAGCTGGGGAAGGGTGATGAAATACGGTGGGGAAAATTATGGTACGCGTCTCAGTGGATTGAGGTTCTTGACCCAAAGGGGGATTAATGGGCACACAGCTGAGAGCTGAAAGGGACGTCCTGCACTAAACACCTTACTCGGATAATCCCATTTACAGTCCTCATTATTTTAAGCAGCAAATACTATTAATATCCCCATTTTGTAGAAGAGAAAACAGGGAAAGTGAGGTCAAGGAACTTGCCTAGCTAGAGAGCAGCAGAGCCAGAACACAGACCCAGGAAATCTAGTGTTACAGCCCACTTTCTTAACCTCTGCACAGGACTGAGGTGCAAAAGAGGCTGAGAGTTTACCAGGACATGGGAGTCACTCAGAGGCTGAGAAAAGCTTTGCCACCTTGAGAAAGTTGCAAGACCCTCTCCCAGTTATTTATCCGCAGGGATTTCATTTCAAAGCAGTGGTTACTTAAAAGCATCTCTTGCTTTCACCTTCTGAAAAAGCAGCTTTTCCTGAGTTCTGTGGCCTTTATGCACAGACACCAGGCCAGGGTGCTGCCAGGTACCCAGATCCAGTGTCCAATTCTGGCTGCGGAGTCCTTCCCTTGAAACACTATGTCCCCTCTTCAACCTATCACACCCCTCCATGGCTCCACATGAACCCCTTGGCACTAAATGGTTTCCATCACATCTTCTGCCAACTAATGCAATTTGTGCTGGGGAAAAAAAAATCTATTTTATAACTCCAAGGACATTATATAATCAACTTCCATACCACAAAACTTGTAGTATCAGTTTGCTGAAATAAAGTCACAAGTATTTAATTCTCCTTGAAAGGGTGTCTTCCATTATTATTTCAGAGTGCAGTTTAGTCATCAAATGTATACTCAGCCTCATGTTTATAAATTATACAGGGCAGGGATTTAACTCTTCTGGACCTACCTGTTCTGAGGAGGAGAGGGAGGGTCATAACCCTGATGTCACACCGGGCACCTGCCTTGAAAGGAGATGATTTGTGAACTTGAAGTTCCTTACCTCTTTTAGAAATGTGGAGCAAATCTACAGATTTCCCTTTATGATGCAATCAGGAATAACCAGAAAGTTGCCTGCCACAAAGAGGCACTGGCTTCCCTCCTCCAGAAAGCTGTTTGGAAACTACAAGTTGGTCTTTTTAATTGAGCTTCAGAATCTTCTCTTGATTATGACACAATAATAGTGGTTTTCCAATTCATCTGTGTAATATTGTTTTTTCATTGTGGTGGTTACTTTTGTCGAAGGGGAAGGGCTACTGCCTTAGATAAATGGGAGAAAAGCAGAAAACTCCTCATGCACTGGCTACCTAAATAGGAAATTCCAAGTCCTGACAAACATTTACATCATGAAGGTGATGGCTGCCAATCAAGGCTTATCCAAGGTCAATGCAGTTTAGGAACCTTGGCCTTGATGGTAAAGTGGATAACTTCTCCATGCAATCCTCAAGTCCTAGTATCCCAAGACATGTCTGCCATCACAATGAAAGGAACAGCGGAGGAGGTAGCAGGTATCTTTCTTTCTTGGTTCCTCCTTTTGAAAAGGGCAGTATTTTCAGAGTTAAAGTAACTGGCTGGCTCCTATGGGGTGGGGTTGAAACCCTCTAGGCCGCGGAGGAGGTTCGCGGGGGGGTTCCTGCCAAAGCATGCCCTTCCCCCAGCGGCAGGATCTCGCAGCCATTGGCCAAAGCCGGGCTGGAGGATGGAAGTCATCCTCAAGGGCTTCCAACTCTCCGGACTGAGCGGGATTCCTGGCCTTGGCATAAAGGGTCGAGTGGATTCATTCGGGGAGCGATGCATTCCAAGAATGCTTCTGTGGTTGGCAAGGAGTGGAAAAATCAAGGATAACAAATATTCTGAGGAAACCTAATAGGTACCAGGATCGCAGGACTCAAACAAACAAGGTGACGACTTAAAGTACGAGGTAACTGGATCTCGATGAGGGTGAGCGCACACTGCACAGGGCAGGGGCTTCGATCCTTTTCCCGGCCCGCCTCCTACCTTTTCTCTCCTGGGCTGACACCCGGACGGGACCGGCCGCGTTTACTGACAAGGGGGCTCGGTGGAAAGGGCGGGCGGAGCCCTGTGCTCGCCTGAATCCAAACAAAACACCTCGCAAGCCTACGTTTAGAAAGCGATACCGAACACCACACTCACGTTTAAAAAAAAAAAAAAAAACAGCGCTGTTCGCAGAGAAGATGAGACGAAAACATTTCCCGGCTGGAAAATTACTGATCACAAACTAAGGGGGAGTGGGGGAGGGGAGGCAGTTAGAAGACTGAAATAACGACCGCCGTTTCCTCTTCTCTGCCCTGTGGGCAGGCACGGCTGCCGCGAGCTCCGTGTGCCCTTTTCGGGAATCGGGGTCCCAGCGCACCGTTCCACTTTCTGGCACGGGGACGCTTTCCAGCTAAGTCCCTTTCGGTGGGTTTGACCGCTTAGAGCCTAAGCCAAGGGAGAGTTGCCGTTTGACCTTTACCTCGCCATTTCACCTCTCTCTGACTCAGTTTTCTCATCCATAAAATGGAGAGTTACGTGCCTTGCAAAGTGCTTTGAGATTCCAGCTTAAAAGGTGTCCCCACGCCTCACGCCCTTCTCCTCTCCCCCACCTCACAAAGTGATTCTTGAGCCCTTTCACTCCCTCGCTCGCTCCTTCAAATATCAAAACTGTAGCTCCATTTCCAATTCCGGCCTCTTTCCGCCCTTTCCAGGCGGGGAACACCCCTCCTCCGGCCTTCTCAGGCTCCCGGTCCCAGCCACGCAGCGCTGGGCACCCGCCTCTTCTCTGTTCCCCCACCCCCATCCGGCAGAAGAGCCCGCGAAGAACCGTGCAAGGCAAGGCCAAACGCCCGCACTGGAGCTCGGGCCCTAGAGCCGCGGTCCTGAGTGCGTATAAGAGGGACCCGGGCTAAAGGAGTCACGCGGATAATCGCGCTCTTCTCTAGAGCGCAGACAGCTCGACAAGCGCGTCCCGGCACTGGGGTGGGGGGCGCGTTACCGTCCCCCTTCGCCCCTACCGGCCTTCTCGACCGTGAACTTCGAACCCAAAGAGACGCCCGTGGCGACACCGACCGTCCTGGTCTCGCGGCGACCGGACCCGCGCCCCGTACCCAGAGCCCCACGCCAGGCCCGCTGCCGCCACCGCCGCCGGCGTCAGCGCGGCTCCTGCCCGCCAGCTGCCGGGCTGGCGTCACAGACCGCTGGGCCCCGCCCGCGCCCCTCCCTCCTCCCCGCCCCCACGTGCGCCGAGTTTGTTTATTTAGCTGCCACGGCAACGCGCGGGGGGCTGCGGGAGGGAGGAGAGAAGAAAGGCAGGGGGCGGGGCCTGGCGGCGGGCCCCAGCACACAGCGGGTAGGAGGCGGGGGGGAGGGCGGGAGCCAAGAAGTTATAAGTAAGGAGCGCGCCGGCGGGCGCCGGCAGTTCCCCGGCCCGAGAGAACGAGCGCGGCTGCGGGCGCGCGGGGAGCAGAGGCGGTGGCGGGCGGCGGCGGCACCGGGAGCCGCCAAGTGCCCCTCCCCGCCCCTCCGGCCCCCCACCCAGCCACCCGCCCGCGGCCAGCGCCCATGGCCGCGAGCGCCCCGCGCAGCCCCCCGGACTCCGCGCCCCGCGCCGCCGCCCAGTCCGCAGATCCGCGCCACCGCGGCCAGTCTCACCTGGCGGCGCCGCCCGCCAGCCACTCCGGCCACAGCCCCAGCGCCCAAGGCGATAGCCGCGGCGACCGCGACAGCGGTGGCGGACGCTGCTGAGTCGAAGAGAGCGCAACCCGGCCACCGGACCTACTTTTATTCGCCTTGCTGATTGTCTATCTTTATGAGTTTACAACTTTTCTAAGAACTTTTGTATACAAAGGAACTTTTTAAAAAGACATCTCCCTTTTATATTTAATCCAAAGAAGAAGGATCTCGGGCAGTTTGGGGTTTTTGGTTTTGGCTTCGTTTCTAAGTTCCTTTTTTTCCCTCTTCGTTGACTTTGGGGTTCGGGTACCCCACTGCTTCGGACTCCCGAGGATCTTCTGGGGCCCAACATTAATGAGGTAGGTGCGGCGCGGGGCGCGGGGCGCAGGGAGGGGTGAGGGCCGGTGGGACGCGCCAGAGTGGCAGTCGAGAGTGGCCCCTGACTCCTGCCCCTGTGTACTCCCCACCCGGCCCGCAGGCAGCCGCCTGGCGAGTCTGACATGGCTGTCAGCGACGCACTGCTCCCGTCCTTCTCCACGTTCGCGTCCGGCCCGGCGGGAAGGGAGAAGACACTGCGTCCAGCAGGTGCCCCGAATAACGTGAGTGTTGCTCCGGGCCTTTGGGATCCTCCGGTGGACTTCTGTGGCTGGGGTGGGGACGGGCGGAGCCCTGGGGTCACCGAGAACCACCGGACGACGGGGAGGAGTGGCCACCGCACGGGCTCCGCAGCCTTCCCGGGATGGCTTCCGCGCCCTTGTCTCAGCTGTACATGCGTGTGGTCCCGACGCTGTGGAGCCGCCGGGGGTGCACACCGGGTCCGCACATATCCCGGAGCGTGCAAGCGGCAGGGCGGGAGGTGTCTGTGTACCCAGACGCTGGCTGGGCCAGAGTGAGCTTGGCGCGTAGGCGTCCCCTTGGCGAGGGCGCACCGAGAGAGCCTCGGTGTCCCAATTCCGGGGCGGCGGGAGCGTCCCCAGGATCTGGCGGGGGAGGGACCCAGGCTGGCGAGCCGCGGCGCTGGCTAACACGCAATCGGGCAGACACAACATAACATCCTCCATATCGACGCACCGCCTCTTCTCGGACCCGGGTGTGGGCCATGACTGCAGCGCTGGCACCCGTAGTCCCCGGGCGCTTCCTGCCTGCCCGGTCCCCGTGTCTAGGCGGTGTAGGCGCGGCGGGCCCACCACTACATTGGGTGGCAGTTAGGGACAGCACTGACGGTCTCTCTCGCGTCCTGTTCCCGCAGCGCTGGCGGGAGGAGCTCTCCCACATGAAGCGACTTCCCCCGGTGCTTCCCGGCCGCCCCTACGACCTGGCGGCGGCGACCGTGGCCACCGACCTGGAGAGTGGCGGAGTCGGCGCGGCTTGCGGCAGCAGCAACCCGGCTCTCTTACCCCGGAGGGAGACGGAGGAGTTCAATGATCTCCTGGACCTGGACTTTATCCTCTCCAACTCGCTGTCCCATCAGGAGTCAGTGGCCGCCACCGTGTCCTCGTCGGCATCAGCCTCATCCTCGTCCTCCCCGTCGAGCAGCGGTCCTGCCAGTGCGCCCTCCACCTGCAGTTTCAGCTATCCAATCCGGGCCGGGGGCGACCCGGGCGTGGCGCCGGGCAGCACGGGCGGCGGCCTCCTCTACGGCCGGGAGTCTGCACCCCCTCCGACAGCGCCCTTCAACCTGGCGGACATCAACGACGTGAGCCCCTCCGGCGGCTTCGTGGCCGAGCTCCTGCGGCCCGAATTGGACCCAGTGTACATTCCACCACAGCAGCCGCAGCCGCCAGGTGGCGGGCTGATGGGCAAGTTTGTGTTGAAGGCGTCGCTGAGTGCCCCTGGCAGCGAGTACGGCAGCCCGTCGGTCATCAGTGTTAGCAAAGGCAGCCCGGACGGCAGCCACCCGGTGGTGGTGGCGCCCTACAGCGGCGGGCCGCCGCGCATGTGCCCCAAGATCAAGCAAGAGGCTGTCTCTTCGTGTACCGTCGGTCGGTCCCTAGATGCCCACTTAGGCACTGGACCCCCTCTCAGCAATGGCCACCGGCCTCCTGCGCACGACTTTCCCTTGGGGCGGCAGCTCCCCAGCAGGACTACCCCGACCCTGGGTGCCGAGGAACTGCTGAGCAGCAGGGACTGTCATCCTGCCCTGCCGCTACCACCGGGCTTCCATCCCCACCCGGGGCCCAACTACCCTCCCTTCCTGCCCGACCAGCTGCAGCCGCAGGTCCCACCGCTCCATTACCAAGGTCAGTCCCAGGGATTCATAGTTGGGGCTGGGGAGCCCCGCCCCGGCGGGGCACACGGGATGACGCTGACCCCACCTTCTTCACCCCTAGAGCTCATGCCACCCGGTTCCTGCATGCCGGAGGAGCCCAAGCCAAAGAGGGGGAGAAGGTCGTGGCCCCGGAAAAGGACGGCCACTCACACATGTGATTACGCAGGCTGCGGCAAAACTTACACGAAGAGTTCTCATCTCAAGGCACACCTGCGAACCCACACAGGTAGGAGGCCAGAAGCCGCGGAAAGGAGGGGGGCTGGTGTCCAGCCTCACCGGCTGACTATGGACACTCCTCGGGGCCTCCCTTGGGATGTGGGGCGCAGTCTATCTCCTCCATCTCCTGGATCACAGGAGAGAAAGCAAACCGGCGCCTACTATTGCTCAGGAGCCTTTTGCTGGGCGGATGGTATCAGTGCATGAAAATGCAGTTTTGTTAGGCCTTTGAAAGGCAGGGAGATTCCAGGCTGCATGTGGGCCTCTTCTAGCTTGAGCAAACCATTGCCCTTGTAATCAAGAAATTATACTTGGCAAAAAAAAAAGAAAGAAAAAAGAAAAAGAAAAGAAATTATACTTTGCAGCGCAAAAGCATGGTATTTTCTTAAATCAGTTTTTTGTTTTCTAGGCTATTTTTATTGCTTTTTTTCCTTTCCCAGTCTCACCCCTCCCCCTTTCTAGTCTTAACAATTAGGTGTTATTTAAATCCCAAGGACTTAATGGTTAGGCTTGCGGAGATTCTGGTTTAAGATTGTCACCGCAGAGAATTTGTTTGTGGATGTAAGTTGGTATATAAGGTCACTAAGGCACAGCAGTCATGAATAATGTTGGTACAGGAAAAGTAGCCTCCTGTCACTTTCTAGAACCAGTTCTAGTGGGATAGGATATTACTGATTTGGACCAGGAAGAGGCACTAGCAGCCATAGTTTCTAAATTCACTTCCTCCACAGCGATATCTTAGCTCAAAAGAATGAAAACGTTAGTCCAACAGAAGTATAGGTTTAAGTGGTCTTTGTTCTCTGTGATAAGCTATCTAACTTCCCCTAAAAAAAAAAAAAAAGAGCAAAAAATTCCTATATTCCTGCTTTACCATCTAAAATTTAATCTGGCCTTAAGAGGTATAAAGACCCTGGATCCTTTCGGAATGGGGTGCTTGGGGAGTTGGTTGAATGTCTGGCCTCTATGGCCAGTTCTTAATTCTTTCACAATCGCTTCCAGTGGCTTTATTTTCCTTTTCCAGGTGAGAAACCTTACCACTGTGACTGGGACGGCTGTGGGTGGAAGTTCGCCCGCTCAGATGAACTCACCAGGCACTACCGCAAACACACCGGGCACCGCCCCTTCCAGTGCCAGAAGTGCGACCGGGCATTTTCAAGGTCGGACCACCTCGCCTTACACATGAAGAGGCACTTTTAAATCCCCAAACAGTGGATATGACCCACACTGCCAGACAAGCATTCAGTATTTTTTACCTTTCACACTGTCTTCCCGGTGAGGGGAAGAACCCAGCTGGAAAGCACTACAATCATGGTCAAGTTCCCAACAAGTCAACTTGTGAATGGATAATCAGGAGACATGAGGCAATCAAATGACAAAGAACAGATGGGGTCTGTGACTGGATCTTCTATCATTCCAATTCTAAATCCAACTTGAATATATATTCCTGGACTTACAAAACGCCAAGGGGGTGACTGGAAGTTGTGGATATCAGGGTATAAATTAGATCCGTGAGTTGGGGGGGAGGGGAAGACCAGAATCCCTTGAATTGTTTCGATGCAATATAAGCATAAAGATCACCTTGTATTCTCTTTGCCTTCTAAAAGCCATTATTACGATCTTAGAA